GAGGACCTGAGTTCAAATCCAGCCTCAGACACATAATACTTCCTGGCTATGTAACTCTGGGCAAGTCACTTAACCCTAATTGCCTCACTAAAAAAAAGGGGGAGGGGAGATAGGAAAGTCAGGAAAATCAGGAGGGAGATGGGCACACTCTGGTTCCTGGAAGCCTGCATGGCCCAGTAGTACTCAATTTGGAGGCAGCTGTGGAGTGGAGCAACTCCTGGACCAAGCTGAGAGCTTCAATGACTTGAACTGTCAGCATAGGAGAAACAGTGGCAGAAAAACAGAGGCAGCTAAGTGGTACAGTGGATAGAGCCCTGGAATTGGAGTCAAGAAGACCTGAGTTCAAATCTGGCTTCTGACACTACTCAGTTGTATGATCCTGTCACTTAACTACTGTCTGCCTCAGTTTCCTCATCTATAAAGTGGGGATAATAATAGCACTGATTTTCCAGGGTTTTTGTGAGGATCTAATGAAATAATATTTGTAAAGTGCTTTGGAAATCTTAAAGTAACACATAAATGCTAGCTAGTGTAACAACTGGGAAATTCCTGGACAACTGGAAGATTTCCTGGAATGAGCCTTCCAGGGAAAAAGTAGAAGTCCCCAGATAATTCTAAGCTTCTGGACGAAACCTTCTGAACAATGTTGATAGTTGTAGGTCTAAGCAGAAGAGTTCTTTTATCTCACAGCTTGGCCTTGGACTCCTCATCACTGTATTGCTACCTCCATCTGCTGTCTTCTCTGGGGCCAACAGATTCCTTCCTCTTCTGAAGCCATGTGGTTCACTGATAAACATAGTTCCTTTGAGGCAGTGGTGTCCTGGTGAATGTTTAACAAGCAACTCTGGGGAAAGATATTCTTGACATACTTTTTTGTTTAAGCTACATTATTAACATTCCTCTATCATTTTCTTAAGGCCAAACAATCAACAAAACAATAAATCAAGCCGTGATTTGTAGCATTTGTTGATTTCCAAGATGTACATGCTCACAGGGAAAATTTAACAATTATGGAAGGGTGAAATTATGGAAGGATCATTCTGGCTTCCTTTTTGGGAAGTGGCTCTCCATATATCTAGTTGGCTCCACTCTCCTTCTCTTTGTTCTTCTAGTTTTGCTTTAGCTCTCCATTTTTAATGCCAGCTCCAAGGGTGTGTATCTAGCCATGACTTAATCAGTCTTCTTCGACGTGGCATCATTTCACCAACAATAACCAGGCCAAGTGTACTCCATCAAGGAGATACTATCAGTAGTAGAACAAAGACCTCATACTTTGACCTTGCTACCTTCACCAGAATCTTTCTGGTTACAACCTCTACATATCAAAATGAGGTGGTTGGGCTAGGTCCAACCATCTCTAAAGTCCCTTTCATCTCTAAATCCCATGATCTGCTTCTCCTCACTTGAGCTTCCTGATTGTCCACCAGCAATGTTTTTCTGATACTAGCAACTGTTCACCAGGTGGTGACTTGGCTGAAGATATGAAGTGAGCTGTACTTTTATGCTGCCAATAGCAGCTGGTCATTGTTAGGGAAGAACCATAGCTCTGCCATGGAGAAGTGCCAATCTAAGGAGAACCAGGTTGGATGGAAATGAGGTAACCTGTGATAAATCAGAAATATATTCAATCAACCACAGCAACAATGGCTCAAAAAGTAGATCCTCACTATTCTGCCACTTGTCCTAATGTTAAAATAAGTCTATAGTTGTTGATCAGTCAGTTATCAATCATCTAGTGCTCAGTACTGTCCATAAGTGCCTTTCCATGGGTTCGACTGAATAGCCATACTTCTACCTACTATAAATGCTCCCAATTGGGATTCTCTGGCGCAAGGCAGACCATAAATAAAAATCAGAGTAGTGGGAAGAGCACAAATTTTAAAAATTTTTGAAATTCATTTTAAACTTAAATACAAAACAAGAAAAAAAGAACATTTCTATGTACACAGAAGAACATGAGAGGATTAAATATAAAACAATAAATTTCCATTTCAAACTGTTTACTTCTTTTTGAAAACCTATGTAATAAATACTATACATTGTTTTCAAAGCTACCCAGCTTTCTGTGCTTCTTCCTTCTATGTTTTCTTTTGTTCTCTGCTGTACACTTTTCATTTTTTCTCCCTCCCTGACCACCCCTGAAAACAGTTAAACATAAATATATGTACATATGTATACATATACATACTTATCTATATATACATATATATATATATATATATATATATATACATATGTACAAATATGCACATATGTAAGACCATACTATGCATATTTCTATTTGTCAGTTCTTACTCTGGAGGTGGATAGCATCTTCCTTCATAGGCCACATCTTTCCATGTTTTTCAAAATGAACAAGCTCATTATTTCTTATATCACAGTAGTATTCAATCACAATAATATATCACAACTTGGTTAGCTATTCCCCAACTGAAGGGAATCTATTGTTTTAAGCAATCTGATAGATGTAAGATGATATCTCAAAGTTGTTTTAATTTGTATTTCTCTAATCAATAATGATTTAGAGATTTTTTCATATCATTATATATAGTTTTAATTTCTTCATCAAAAATTGCCTGATCATATACTTTGAAGAAGAACACAATCCCTGCTCTACAATTTATTAGCAGTATGATCTTAGACGAGATTCTCTTTGAATCTGAGTTTTCTCATCTGGGGATAATACTCATGATAGGTGACTGCCACATAATATTGTTGTGAGAATCAGATGCCAAAATACATATAAAGTAATTTTTAAACTGTAAATCAGTGGAAAAATATGTTATTAGTAGATAAATGTAATATGATTTCCTCTTTCTATCTTTAAAAATGTTTTACAGATTTATACCACTGTCACTTCCCAATAACCCCACCCCAATAAAACTTTCTATGGTAACAAAAGCAGTAATCATATAGTCACATTAACCATATCTGATAGCATATCCAACATTCCATACCTGTAGTATACCATCTTCCTACCATAAGGAGGGAAGTGTGTTTCATTATCTGTTCTATGCGACAGATTGGTCATTACATTTATTCTGAGTTTTGATATCTTTTAGTTTTGTCTTCATTTATATCATTGTGGTCATTGTGCATAATTTTCTAGTGCTTCTCTTTTCTTTGCTCTGTATCAGTTTGTATGTCTTTTGATATTTTCTGAATTCCTCATATTCATTGTTTCTTATTTTGCAATAACATTCCATTATATTCATATAACATAGTATGTTTAGGCTTTTCCCAATCTATAGGCACTCAACTTTGCTTATAGCTTTTTTTTGCTCCCACAAAATATCTTTATGGATATTTTGGTATGTATGGGACCTTTCTTCCTGTTTTGTTAAGTGCTTTTGAGGGGGAAGAGGTGTATTCCCAGTACAGATTTTAATAGATCTGGTTACAACCAAAGAGTATGAACAGGTTAGTAACTTTTCCTCACATCATTATTTTCACAAAATTACAATCACATGAATTGCTTTCAAAATTGGTTGGAACAAGTCATAGCTCTATCAACAGTTTATTAATGTGCCTAACTTCCCATAGCCCCTACTGTTATTTCTGGTTGACTAATTGGTATTAATTGATAAGCCTAAGTGGAAACACACCATTGAAGACTTAGGAGCATCAGAAAGACACTCCCTATCTCCTCAGGGCTAATCCTAGTGCTCCAAGGGGGATGTGGTAGTCACCCCACTGCAATTTGGAGTTGGGAGAATTCAGGCTTTGTACTGTGGAAAACTCTACACCCATATCTCCCCCCATCCCTCCCAGCTAATGAGAAGAGGAAGGTATATTTCATAATTTATTCTTAAAGGCTAAGTGAGCTTACTATAATTACACAGTGTTCGGTTTCATTTGTGTTCCTTTTCATTCACATTGTTGTAGTCATTGAGTATACTGTTTTCATTCTGCTTACTTTACTCTGCATCATTTCATGTAAGTTTTTTCACCTGTTTTTGAATTCATTATATCTGTGATTTCTCATAGCATGATAATGTTCCATTACACTCATATGTCATGATTTGTTTAGTCATTTCATATTTGAAAGGCCATTTCTGGGTTGTAGTTCTTTGCTTCCACAAAAAGAGATGCTCTGAATGTTTTGGTATACTTTGGTATACTTCATTGTGTTTTTGGTCTCTTTGGGGCATATGGAGTAGGATTCCTGGATCAAAGAGTATGCCCAGGTTAGTCACTTTTTAGCATAATTCCATTTTTTTTTTGCAGAAATTCACAACTCCATCAACAATGAATTAATGCATCAAATAGTTTTGGTAATTATGACTTTGGGTTAGAATTTGAGATCTGGTAATAGCTGGGTCCTTTGATTCTTGGATTTTTTTTCATTATTTCCTTTGACATTCTTGACTTTTTGTTCCTCCTTGGTAATTTGATTGACATTGCATTAAATCTTCAAGTTAATTTAGGTAGTATAATTTTTATTACAATGTGGCCTAGACAAGCACAATAAATCTCTCTTCAATTATTTGTCTTCCTTTATTTCTGTAAAGGGTGTTCTTGGTAGATTTCTTTGTATGAGCCCCAAGTATGTCTTGGTAGGTTAATTCCAAAATATTTTATGCATTTTGTAGTTATTTTGAACGGAATTTTTCTTTCCCTCTTTTTCTGGGTTTTGTTAATAATACACATAAATGGTCCTCTTTTTTCATTTATTTTTGTGTCTTACTATTGATATTGGTTTGGTTAATTTTTTGTTAAATCTCTAGGGTTGTCCAAGTAAACCATCATATTGTCTGCAAATAGAGATAGATTCGCCTCTTTGCCTATTTAATTCTTCAACTTTTTTTTTCTTTTCTTATTGCTATTACCAGCATGTGTAGCACTATATTGAGTAAGAATAGAGACTATGGGCTACATTGTTTCCATGATTCTTCTTTTCCTCATTCCATATTTCCCACACCACTTTAATACTTTTTCTTTCTCCTAGGTATCCGCTGTTCTGATCATCTTATTGATAGTGTATTTGTTATTCCTTCTAGGAATATTGGCATTTTAAGGATTGACTGATGAGAGAAAAACAAGCTTAAACTAAAGGAACAGAAATTCAGAAACTGATGCAAGCATTTCTGGGAAGGGGACTTTCCCAGCTCAGACTCATGGAAACACTTTCTGGAAAGGTTGGTTCCTATCTCAGAACACTGTTGCCGCATACCCCCTTCTGCTGATTCTGCTCCATGCTCTTCTGCATTGCAAATGCCAGACTCTGTCTCCAAAGTGTCATCCCTTCCAGTTCTAAATCTATGATCCTGTGCCTTCAGATGGAGGGGTGCTCCTCCTGTCTTCAGATTATTTCACTCTGTAATACCCTTCTGACTTAATCTCAAAATCTTAATCCCATTTGCTCATGAATTTGTACTGTACATCTGGCTGCAACATGACCAAAAGTTGTGAGAAGAGGGCTAGAGATGCTTCATTTGGTCTGTGATGACAGATGGACAGTAATTTAGGAATAAGGATGGGTTGTGTCCTTAGCCCTGCTCTTAATGTGGAAGGCAGGCTCTATGTTGAGGATGAAGGAAGCACATTCTTTTAGAAAAGTAAAAGAACCATCATCATCATCATCATCAACATTATCAGTAAAAATGAGTTCCAACCTGGTTTTACTAGGACCCAACATGTGACTTTAAGCAAGTCATTTAATCTGTTTGTACCTCAGCATTCTCATTGCCAATGAGGTTGCCTTTTTACTTCCACAGCTCAGCTGTCCTCATATACCTCACAAGGTTGTTGAGTGGATAAAGTGAGATAAAATTATATATTTCATCTGAGGAATAAGACCTCAGGACTTTGAATGACAACAAAAAATTGAGCATTATGCCAATGTAAAATAGAATTATCAAAGTAATTTTGAGATTGGTGAAAGGTGAGGAAAATGATTGGGATTTTAGAGTGATTGGGAAGAAAGATTGACAGGTAATACCAGGGATATATGGAAGGAATTTGATCCTAATGCCTCAGACATCACTTGGCACATAAAAATCCACCATTTCATAACTAACTGCAGGTGAGGGTTCAACTACATGAACTTTAAGTTTAGTTTTTAGGTATCTCTAAATAGGTTGATGTCCTCAACTACCCAGATTAGGTCATGGCTTTAAGTGGGACTATGGATGATCTAAATAGCATAAACACTTGCAGATTCTGTAGAGTTTATTTCAGGGAGGAAAGAGTTGAGTGTTAGGGTCCTGTGGTCCCTGAAGTCTAGGGGAGGAGCTAAGAAATTATTGTCAAGGATAGAACTGCTGTTAACTTTATTGCACAGAATCATGATCCAGCCCTTAGGTTTTCTCTGTGCCAAGACATCAGACAGTTTACAGTTCAATACAGTACACAAGACTGCTCCAGGGACATCTACAACACAATGAAACAGGAACCAAGACATAAATGAAAAGCCATTCAGAAAACAACAGATACCCAACTGTCACCAATTTCCTGTAAAGAGGGGTCATCTGGTTTTCTTGCTTAGGCTTCTTTAAAGACAATCAGTTCTAAATCTGTAGTATATTTGATGTTTTATTTTTCTTCAATTACATGTAAAAACAATATTTAACATTCTTTTTGTAAAATTTTGAGTTCCAAATACTCTCCCTCCCTCCCCCCTTTCTCATTGAGAAGGAAAATAATTTGATATAGGTTATACATATGCAGTCAATTAAAACATATTTCCGAGGCAGAGCCAAGATGGCAGAGTGAAAGTAGTGACTTGCTTGAGCTCTCCCCCAAACCCCTCCAAATACCTATAAAGAATTGCTCTAAACAAATTCTAAGGCAGCAGAACCCACAAAAAGACAGAGTGTAGCAAATTTCCAGTCCAAGACAACCTGGATGGTTGACCAGAAAGGCATATTGTGATGGGTGGGTAGAGGAGCGCAGCGTGGCGTGGGTGCGCAGGCAGCAGCGAACCTGGATCAGGCCTCAGAGGACTGAATCTCAGGTAGCCGTGGCAGCTTCCAGACCTCTCAACCCACAAACACCCAAGACAACTTAGAAGGTCAGTGGGAAAAGTCTGTTTCTGCAGTGAGAGAGGAGCTAGGTCAGAGCCAGCTCCAGAGTGCAGAATGCAGGCGCCAGGGTGGTGGCTGTGTCCTGAGCTTCCAGCCCACAGACTAAGGGGAGAATCGAGTGGCTGATCAGAGGGGGATTTCAGGGATCTATTTGCCAGTGCTGAGGCAGGAATCTCTTGCTTTACCCATGCTTGGATCTGGGTCACAGTCCTAGGTGGTGGTCCTGGGGTGAGGAGGAGCTCTGGCATAGTGGATCTTGGGCTGGGGAGAGAAAACCCTCCTCACAGTTCCAGGACAGAAAGGAGTACTTGTGGTCACTAATAGACCAGAGCACAGGCCAGGAAAGGAGTAAACACCTCACCCCTTATCATACCACCTTGCAAGAACTGAAAATTTACAGGTTCCAAGTATCTCTGAAAACAGTTGTATAAACCCCTGAAGCTTGGGACAGTACATTCTCCACAATGGAAGCAGACTCTTACCTTAACAAAGAGTTTAAAACTCAAGTAATTGGCTGGGATCATAAGCAAGCAGCTCAAAAAGAGTCAGACTATATTATCTTCCTTTGGTGACAAAGAAGATCAAAACATACAACCACAAGAAAACAAACTCAAAACTCCTACATACAAAGCCTCCAAGAAAAATATGAATCAGTTCCAGGCCTTGGAGGAGCTCAAAAGGGATTTTGAGAAGCAAGTAAGAGAAGTAGAGGAAAAACTGGGAAGAGAAATGAGAGTGATACAAGAAAATCATGAAAAACAATTCAACAGCTTGCTAAAGGAAACCCAAAAAAATACTGAAGAAAATAACACCTTAAAAAATGGCCTAACCAAAATGGCAAAAGAGGTCCAAAAAGCCAATGAGGAGAAGAATTCCCTAAAAAGAAAAATTGGCCAAATGGAAAAGGAAGTCCAAAAGATTACTGAAGAAAATACTTCCTTAAAAATTAGAATGGAGCAATTGGAAGCTAGTGACTTTATGAGAAATTAAGACACTGTAAAACAAATCCAAAA